AGTACCGAGCCCGAATAACATACCTTGTCAGGTTCCAGTTCACGATGATGCCCTGGGGCGCCCTTGGCTACTCTGTGCACAGGATGAGCTGCAGATTTGCTGCATTGTGTGAGTAGTTTAACCGTTTGTCTCTTTTTCACAGATCGTGGACGACTCCCGGTCACCGTGTGACGTCACACCTGAATTCATGAAGGTTCACGCCAAGGTACGAGCGAATGTCAACACATTGTCTTGAAGCCATTGCCCTGACCTTGGCTGGAGACGACCTACCGGAGAGGCTAAAACCGAAACTCAGATCCGCCCAGTGTCACCCCGAGGGGAGCTGTAGAGCTGCCGTAGCTGCAGTTGCAGAGTTACAGTAGCTGCAGTTGCAGAGTTACAGAAGCTGCAGTTGCAAAGCTGTTGCAGTATGCAGAGCTATGTTTCCGGGGAGGAAAATGACTGTAGTATACCGAAGGCCCGCTCTGGTTCTGAGATGACTGTGTGTGATGGCTCATGACTGTGTAATGTGTGTATCATAACTGACCGTCAGTGAGCTGTCAGTCGGCGTGAGGGTTGTGCTCTCGCTGAGATCCGGCGGCCCAAATGCAGCCGATAGGTGTGCCACACTCAGAGTAAGGTATTTTCTCGTAAGACGATTGATAGAGCCTGAACGGATGTCGGGGAGGTGCCTGCAAAGTGTGGAGCCGACAATAGTCAGTGTATGGAGTAATCTCGCTGTTATGCGGGGAAACATGGCCGCGCTGTAAACATTCCTTGCGATTGATTGATGTCTGCTACGTGAGTCTAGGAACATCCCCTCTCCTCGTAGATGAGCCACCAGCGAACAGACCAGTGCGGTGCGAGCGCCACTACTAGCCGGGTGATGTGATAAGGTTGTGAGAGATGGAGCCACCAGTACCGAGCCGCCCGAGAAGCGCTGCAGGCCGCGCTACGGCATTTGCGAGGGCAGGGCGGATGGCACGGCCAGGCGGACCGGTAGGGAGGAGGCCGTGACCCACGACTAAAATAACAGTGGAAACTGTGAGCTAGCTGGGATGGACGGGAAAGGGACTGGGAGTGACTGGACGGGAGAAGGGCTGGGGCCCGAGACCTCTAACCGACTACGGCTCCCCTGCGAATACCCCGAGTACGGAACCCTAAACAATCTCACAGCTTTACGCAGAAGAATGCCTACCAATGCTCCGATGTGTTCGTGTACTCCGTCTTAATGTGATGTCAGTTATTTGTATGTGCATTTTCTGTAGCATTGTGACAGGTTAGTGTGCGGTGTTTGGTTTTGTGTAACCGCGAACAAAGCTACGCTGGAGTTCTGAGATTGTATTGAGAGTAGTTCTGCTGCTTGCGTTTACAGCTTGTAGGCACCGTGCTAATATCGCTTTGTGCGTATCACGACACCGAGGCTGTTGCGGTTCACCCCTACTTGCTTCAATATTGCCATGTCTTGCGAGCGATTTAGCATTGCATGCAGTTGTAAGTACCTACGCCCATGTGTAACATGTAACAAGAACATAAACAATAAAATATTTCCCGAATGTTTTCTGAACTACTGCGACGTCTTGTATACAAAAGAATACTGTTATCGGTACATGCATCTATATGATCATAAGCAGAGAACACGGAATGAGCAGAATCTATGTAGTTATCTCAACGTCCCACTCTGGGCTGGTATAGCTGAACACACCGTCTCCCGTCTATATAGCTCGGCCTCCTGGGCCACCAAACGGTAGCGGTTCTGAGACATTATCCCGGCAGTTGCTGGGGTATTTCGCCACCCACCGTTTGCTGGGGAGGGGCGTTAAACGCCCCCAGCCGATAACTCGAGAACCGATAGGCGCAGCGAAACGCACGAGGCGGCAAACGAAAGAACGCGACGAGGCGCTTCAGATGAGTACCTTAAAGTTGAATTTTGAGGTCACAGGTCGGGTCAAGGTCAGTTCAAACACCTGAAATCGGGCTTTCAGTAGCATGGACTTCAGGACTTCGCAATGGGCGCCTCTCGTCATAAGCTCTGTCAAAACGGTGCATAATCCATCATATAAGGCCTACAAGAGTGTCAGCTCCATGTAGGGGTCAGTCAAGCATAGGTCAGGGTCAAGGTCAGGTCAACCGGGTAGGCACATATCCCCGAAAATCAAAACTGATATTTGCAGCCTGTGACACATGTTTTATGGGTAATTTGGGGCGTAGAACACGATGGTGACATTCATTTTATCATATGCGTACGTGTTTGGCTCAAAAAGTTCAATTTAAGAAATGCATGTATCATGGTCGTGAATTGGTCACGAGAAATTGCCAAGATTCAGTTCAAGATTTTGGAAAATGCGGAACAATAATCAATAATCGAAGATAGCCATTTGATTGTTCATGGTTTTGGCAGTCTAATGGTGTTTACGGCATGTCTTTATGTCTGTTCAGTGATTTTATATGGTTTTTTTGAACATATGCCGTTTTTGGTCGTAAACTCAGAAATCATGAAGTCACTAAAACCTCGATATCTCAAAAATTTTCCGACCGATCTTTTTGAAACTTTGTCACAATAAACTTCAATCAATTCCCTACAGGTACCCAAAATTTGGCGCGCCTGCGGCGCGCCGTTTTTATGCTATAGCTCGGCGAAAAAAGTGGGGGCGTTTAACGCCCCCCCCCCCCCAGCAACTCGTGGGTTATCTGTCAATAGCTGCCAGTTCAGCAGACATGAGCACGTCCTAAATGCAAACAAAGCCTAACCTTTGAATATTATATCTTGCCGAGGCATGGACGTCAAACAATGTTTCGCCCTTGCATGAAATATTACAACTGAAGCCTTTACATATTGGTATATTCTGTCCATCATTCATTTCATACAACGTTGCGTCTGCGAAAATAGATCATGACTGGCCCGATACGACAAGAAGAGCATTCAATACCCATCATTCAACAGTGAATAGTAAAACAGTTTAACGTCAAGCAACAGATACATAGGAGGTTCCGGTTCCTCGTACCACGTCTTGACTTCAAATACGTAGAAATCGTAACAATCAAATTCACGCGCGAACGACAATCGGCGGTAACAACTCGCAGGTACCGCCTGTGGCAGGACAGCCGATCAGTGAGCGTCGCACCATCCTGTCTCCCACAGTCCCTTCGTCGGGTAGCCGTCGATGATCTGCTTGGGGTAGTCGGCCGGCACCAGGTCCTCCATCAGCTCCAGCACCCTGTCCTGCATCCTCTTCACCACGTCCGGCATCTGCTCCGCCAGGTCCACCCGCTCCTCCGGGTCGGCAGTGACGTTGAAGAGGTACACAGGCTGAGGGTCTCCGTGCTGGCTTGCTGAAACGTCCACAGCGTCCACCTCGTCCTCGCTATCGATGTTAACCGCATCGGACCGGTCTTGCACGGCGTCTTCGTTGGAGTCCGGCACCGGGTACCAGTCGCTGTAGCGTCCGGGATATCCCCAGATCAGCTTCATGTCGCCCTGGCGCAGCGCGGCGCTGAAGTCGCCGTCGTCGCGCTCGTCTATGTTGTAGACGAGCTCGTCGCGCGCGCTCGGTGACCCGGTCGACAGCGTCTCCCACTGGTCCACGCCGTCGACGTTGAGGTCCGAGGTGTCGACACCGGCCAGCCGGAGGAAGGTGGGCGCCCAGTCGGTGACGTGGATCACCTCTGAGCTCACGTAGCCGGTCTTCTGCAGCAGCGGAGACACAACGAACGCCGGCGTGCGGGTGCCGCCCTCCCAGAGGGTGTTCTTGAAGCCGCGCAGGGGCCAGTTGTTGCCGGCCGCTGTCACGTTACCACCGTTGTCACTGATGAACGCGATCACGCAGTTCTCGTAGAGGCCGGACGCCTTCAGCGACTCGACAACTCGCCCGACAGCGAGATCGATGGCCGTCACCATGCCGCTGAACGTGCGACGGAGGTCGTTGGGGATGTTGGGGTAGAGCTCTACGAGCTCCTCCGGCGACTGGACGGGCTGGTGAGCAGCAAGGAACGGGAGATACAGGAACAGCGGCTTGGACTTGTCGTGCTCGCTGATGATGCGCTCGGCGCGCGAGGCGAACAGCTCCGTGGAGTAGACGCCGCTCTGGTCCCAGTCCGGTTCGTCGTTGCTTCTGAGATCAAGGCTGCCGTTCAGGGTGTGCGTGAAGTGGTCCTCCCGGCCGTTCCAGACGCCGTAGAAGGAGTCGAAGCCACGGTTGTGCGGCAGGTACTCGGGTGCACAGTGGCCCAGGTGCCACTTGCCGACAGCGTGTGTGCTGTAGCCGACAGAGCGCAGCCGTTCGGGCAGCAGGGTGAAGTTGACGCTCAGACCGGTCGGTTGGCACGGCAGGTAGGCGCTGCGCTGTGACATAAAAACAACGTCACACAATCAGCCCAGCACACGTACTAAAACAGAACGGTCGGAGCCGTGGCATCATTACAACAGTACAGCGGTCGTCAGCCAAGAGGAAACGGTATGATCAGCAGCTGGGACCTATTAATCTGGTAAGACAAGTCTGTCGTCAAAAGCACCTTGTTCGTGAATAAACAATTGTTTATATCATGTGAATAACCTTATTGTTTCTCTCGCCGGCACAAGCCAATTCGCGTCCTTCGACGGCACATGGGGGGGGGGTACGACCCCCCTCGCGTTTGGCCCCTAATGGAGATAGAGCTTCTCGGAAAAAACGAGCGTGTTGCCCGTCACGAGAGGAAGCCAATGATACCCAATTTTAAGGTTCTAGGTCATCGGTTGACCTTCCAGGTCAGGTCAATGACCCAAACGTCGAGAAAATGGGGACCTGTTAGAAAGTCGTAAAGTGTGGCTGCTATGAGGTTTTCCGGTGTGCTGATCACGAATATCGTGTTAGTTTTGATCACAGATGATGTCTTTAACCGGGCAGGCGGTGGGCCTCCCAGCCACCTTCCGCGCGGTGGGGGGGGGCATTTTTGCCCCCCCCCCCCCTCGTATCTCCGAAACTACTGGACGAATCCGGAAAATTCAAACGGCGTTCGATAGCCCTGTCAAATTCATCGATGGAAACCAAATTTCATTGACCTCGGGGTCACCGATGACGTCACAGGTCAGGTCAAAGATAAAATGTTTCACCGTTCACGGGGCTTCTAGGGAAAGCGCTATAACACCGAGTAAAACGCATTTTGTCGAAAATCAGCGATAAGGCGTCAGTTGCCTAGTACATATGTTGCTATTAGAGGTCACTGGTCATACCAGGTCAGGTCACAGGTCAGGTCACCAAAGGTCACCAAGGGTCACCACATGAACCCAACTTTACTAAGGTTGTGCATTGTGCAATGCATGTTTTATGGCTAGTTTTTCATTTCCATTCCAACTCAATGGTATTGGTTATAAGACCATCAGGTACGGTTTAGGTCAATTTCTGGTGGAGGTCAGGTCAAGGTCAGGTCAAAAAGTCAAATTTCAAAGTTGATATTTTGCATAAAATGGGTATCGATTCGATGCAGCTCGTCACGGGGAGTCTAATGGTGGTCTTTGTTTTGCGCTACGAGGTCAAGAATTGCTAAAAATTGAGTTTGAAAATTTGACGTCATCAATTTTGAACAGTTTTTTCGCTATAACTTGGCCAAAAAAGAGGTATCGATCTCAAATTTGGTATGTAGATAGAAGGCGGTAGGGACTATCACATATATTCCGTTTTTTCGAAATTCAAAAAACATTTTGGTTTTTTTGGCTAGTATATTCAAAAAATCTATTTTTTGATTTTTGGGGGTCAAAATAAAAAAAAAATCGAAAAACCGAAATAGCAGTTTTGTAGGCTGTAGCCCTTTTGATTCAACACCTTTCATGTCGAAACATTTTTCTGTATCTCTAAAGCTGTAGGCCTGACAGCTCTTCTCGCGAAACCTTTTTTTTGGGGTCGAAAATGGCAAAAATGACGTCACTCTGACGTCATTAGCGGCCAACCTATCATAGCCTTTGGAAAAGTTTTTGGTCACTATGTGCGCTAGCTGCTCCCGGGAGGGTACTGAAAGTTTGGTGACGATCAGCGCAACGGTTCTCGAGATATATCGACAAAACTAAAGGGGGGGGGGAAATGCCCCCCACCGCCTGGAAGGTTAAGCATCTAGACCAGGTCGGGTCAGGTCAGGTCAGGTCAACCGGTAGGGATCGTGACGGGCATTCGTACTAGAGATGTCAATCGGATACCAACTTTTTGGTATACCTACCGATACCAAACCCATACCAACTTGGTATTTGGTATTTCATTCGTAATGTGTTTGGTATTTTGTTGGTATTGCAAACCCTCACTAACGTATAAGAGGCTAAGAAATCGGTAACAGCTTGGTATTTCCCTCATTTTCCCAAGTTGGTTTGGTTTCGGTATTTTCCCGTGTTTTTGGTTGGTATTTGGTTTGGTATCGGTATTCCGATTTTCCGTAATTGACATCACTAATTCGCACTACGTGTCAACCGGCTCCGACAGCTTCGTAACATGTTACGAAGGCACCAAAACTACTTCGTAAATGTTCAAATGGCTGCTAAATTTGAATTCAGCTCTAAAAACTATCCTAAAAACATGTAAAACTCGAAAAAGTGAACTGAGGTCACCAAAGGTCAATGACCTGACCTGACCTTCAGGTGACCTTGACATCAACCCTAATGCATGGGAGCAACATCAAATCACATTTTTGAACGTTTGAAACCACGAAAAGCTTGCAAACGCGCGGCTAATGCGAGCCGACATACGCCGAATCGCGATTCCGGCCAAACATGGTCTCAGAAAATAGGTCACAGGTCAAAGGTCCTTTGGGTCAGGGTCATGAAATTTTCAGGGTAGGTGTAAAATTGATCAATGCGAAGGTACTGAAAGTTTCGTCGCGATCGGCCGCTTTTTACGCGAGTGTTTCGCGAAAACCCTAGGGGGTGCATCAACCACGTTTCGGCGAGGGTTAAGTTTCATAAGTTCATGCTTTATTTTTTCCACTCCTCACTTTCATGCAACCTCCAGCAACTTCAAAATGCAACATATAAAACAGACGCACGCATCGTTATACCTACATTCAGTCAACAGCATCAAAATGTCACTCCTCGTCCCTTCCCAGTTTAGGGACAGCATGCCGCACTCTAAAGGACAGCCTTAGCTAACAGCTCGGCACTGCGGCTGAGGCGGAACACCGCGCCACCTGGCTGACCTGGGTACCCATGTGGTACGGGTAGAGGCCGGTGAGAGCCGCCGAGCGCGAGGGCGAGCACACAGGCTGGACGTAGCTCCTCTCTAGAAGGACGCCCTCTCCGGCCAGCTGGGCCAGGTTGGGCGTCAGGATGTCCGAGTTGTGCCACGAGATGTCGTTGAAGCCTGCCGGAAAAAGAGGAGCAATGGGTTATGGAATAGTCTCAACATTGTCATATGCCCTCGCCAGTGCATACAAAACAAAACTGCACGTACCTAATATCGTGAGTTTAGCTAGCAAAGGTCGTTTCTTAGAAAAACTATATAGTATATACCTACCACTTCTTTATCTCCTCTCTGTCTCTTTCTCTATATCATCTCTCTCTCTCTCTCTCTCTCTCTCTCTCTCTCTCTCTCTCTCTCTCTCTCTCTCTCTCTCTCTCTCTCTCTCTCTCTCTCTCTCTCTCTCTCTCTCTCTCACTCTCATCTCTATCTCACTACTCACCCAGGTCATCGGCGACGATGAAGACAATGTTTGGCTGCGTTGACTCGGAGGCCGGCGCCGATGCCGCCACGCCAAGCAGCACCAGAAACAGTGCGACTACCCTGAGAGAAGCCATAGCGACGCCTTGCCGCCAACGGAGAACGAGCCGCCTTTTATAGTCAGACTTTCCGATAAATGACGCGCAAGGCGCAATAAAAGATGGGGTCTTTGCGTCAGTTGCTGAAGGCCACGGAGCCGAGACGTCTCACCGTGAATGCGCAGATGCGGAACCTTTGATTGTACACGTGTATGATATCAACACTCGTGAGGAGGATGTTTGTGACTCTGCTGTGATAGGTGGCTAGATTGTGAGTTCTTGGATATGGAATAAAGAGGGCGTGGTCATGGATTAGAACGTAAAAACCTAGGCATTGACGCTTGTGATTAATATTATCTGACTCATCAAACCATCGATCTATGTTCATCAGTGATAATTTGATAATCAATATCTGTGTTCGCTAGCCAGCTTGTCAGGTAAATAAGTGCGGGTAAATAAGTGCGCCCGGCGCGTTTGGCGCCGAACACCGGCCCGGCGCGGGATAAATCATTGCCACGGGCTAGACTCGTGAACAGCTGATAACCAGGCAGTGATTGTACCGTTTGTGCAATGTGGCCGGAGAAGTGAACAGTCAGCGTGATATACTATGGCACGATTCGCAATGTCGACACCTCCCCGTCCCGATCACAGTTCTATCTGACAGGACCCAGTCGAATATCGATTACAGACCCAGAGACGGCAGGTCAAAGCGAGGATACATTTCCTTCTGTGCCTTCTTTCTGCACATCAATCGTATGATATGTAGGCAAGCAGTTTGTATCTCTTGGATCATTGGCTGAAGTCACACTGACAGGACGGGCGGGCGCAAGAGATACCTAATAGCCGTTTTCACGACGGGCTATCCGGCGAATGCACCTAATTTGACCAAATCTGCACCTAATTTCTGTTACAGCAAATATCTTGGTATTGTGAATTCATTTCAGTGTTTTAATCGATGATGCTCTCTGATAATATGACAAAGAAGGCATATAAGCAATTAGCGCAAGCCTACATAGTTCCATAGCTACTAAGAAATAGTAAATACACTGAACCGAATTTGACCAAATCTGCACCTAATCTGCACCAAATGTGCACTAAATGTGTACCAGATGGCCGTCGTGAAAACGGCTTATGTCAAGCTCCGCTGATTTTGGGTCGTGGCCCGCGCTGCCCGATATACCTGACCCGCGCATGGCGAGGGGTTCTAATGAGTTTTTCTGCAATATTTTCCAAACTGTTGGTTGGACGTATCGACACGAAAGTTTCAGTACTCTTTGCTAGATCGATTTGACAGCTTATGACAAAATAAAAAGCTTTGGACCTAGATATCATAGGTCTGCCGGAAGTGACGTTGAAGAGACGTCATGTTTGGCCGATTTGGATGCAAACCCTTGACCTACGTATAGTCTCTGTCAAGAGCCTGTATAGTTTCTGAGTTTGCAGCAATTCCATTCGCATGAGAGGACTCAAGATTCACAGGGCTATCAAACTGCAATCTCGAAGTTTCTTCGGAAACGTACAAATAAAGTCTCAAAAGCCATTTTTAAGTTGGTCCCTATGCGTTTTTCACTTAAAGGGACCCTCCCACCTTAACATTAGTTTTGAGTTGAGATAGCCAAGTTTGCGGCCAGGCTCAGAAACCACCATTTATCCTGGTCGCAACCCCCGCAGCTTTATGGTGTTCAAGAAATTTCTTCCCTTTACTTGCAGGGTGGGACCAGCGTGGTCCCTATCTCTTAACCATTACGGGAATCTCATGACGTCATCAGGCTTTCGAACGTCCGTTAAATGTTTGACTAAAACGTTTTGTAGCACGCGGTGGTATATGCTGCTTTGCGCGCAACAAATGCCGCACTTTCAAATAAAGTCGCTAGGAACAGCGGAGATCCCAAAAAGTAAACAAAAGTAAAAGTCTAATATCTTGAAAACCGGTGAATATTTTTCGATGAAATTTGGTAGATATTCGTTTTTACTCTTTCTGAACCGAGCGACATCACTTTCATGCCAATTCATTAACTTTTTTGAAGGTGGGAGGGTCCCTTTAAGTAAAAAAAAAAACGGAACATACGGGATTATGATATATATGTATATGTTACGGGTCATATGCTAACTTGGGCAGTATGCAAACTACCCGGGCAGTATGCATACTACCCGACAGCCCGGGCAGTATGCATACCGCCCGGGTAGTATGCATACTCCCCGACCCCTTGGTCAGTATGCATACCTACCGCCCAAAACTTGGGCAGTTTGCATACTGCCCGCTTCTGATCTTGAAGTTGCGTATTCCATGCCCATTTTTAACATATTAATGACTCTCTGCGTAATGTAGTTCATCCGCGATGTCCTTTTGCGCCGTCAAACGTGATTTATCGATTAAAGGATGAAATAAGGGTTGGAATATAAAAATTCAAATTTTTCTTCTCAGAATTTCATTGTTAATTAGCCAGCGGCCAACAAGTCACTTTAGTCTAAAATGACACCAGATAAAGCGTGACGAGAGTGTCATCACTCGCTGGCTTTGGTTTGGCACCTGAACCTGTAGAGGGCTTTACCAAGCTTCAATAGCAAATGCTGCATGAAACTATTTACACGTAAGACGTTGCAAGTTCTGATGGTCGGGATATCAGGTCAGTTCAAGTGACCTTATCTCATGGAAAAAGCTAGTATGCTCGCCATAGCTGTACCGACTCAACTATCGCTTTGAAACTGTTAGCGATTGATAAGAGTAAACGCATGTACAAAACGCATATAATATAATTTTGATATAATATCGATGATCTCAGGTCAGGCCAATTTTGCGTAGTCCCCCTTAGAAGTTGACAGGATAAAGTTGAAAGACGCCTTTTTGGATGAAAATAATTTTAAACACTCTCAAACATTGGGTTACAGGTAAACATGACAAGCCGAATCGGAAAATGGCACTTGTGACCTCTCTTTATGACCATGAGGTCATCCCAGGTCATCAAATGTCTTCAGCAGTTGTTTTACGATAACTTTTGATGGAGAACTGTTTGAGCGATGTAAACAACCTTAGATGTGTTCAGGGCGACGATAATGATCGGCTAATAAAGAACAAGACATTTCATGTCAGGTCATGACCCTAACCTTAGGTCAAATTTTCCAAGTGGCCTTTAAAGTCAAATTAGGTACAGTGCATCCGACGCGTCTCGACAAGAGAAACACGATGCTGACAAAAACGATTTCGTACCTATCTTGGATCAATAAATATTTTAGGAAAAATGGTCGAAACAGCAATTTTAAGCGTTATTGCCCTTTCGAGGCTAGACCGTTAAACTTAGGTCAGCTTTGAATGCTTATTCCAGAAAGCATTTAAGGAGTTATCTAATGCAACTTTCTGCGGCGCTGTAGATCTACTAGCTTACGATTTATGGGCCAAATTGTTAAGAAAACCAAATTTGAAAATTTTATTAGCTCTATTGACCTGATCTTTGACCTGACCTAAAAATGACTGCAGTAGCTTCGTCATTATTTTTTACCCTATTTTGAATGCTGCTTAGTGCTTACCGTATCTTACATGCCGCTTACTCCTGTGCCGCTAAGTGGCACAGGAGCCGAGCAGGGTTGTTCAACTCCCCCGCCCCCAGCCCGGCACGGCTGGCGCCGAGCACCGCCCCAGCGCATGGGTTAAAGCGTCTGTCATAGACATGTATGCAAGGTATTGCATTAACTAGTCTCACGAGCCGCGGTCAGCATATTGCCCGAGTAAACATCTTGCCCGTGAGATGAAAGGTGGGCAGTATGCATACTACCCGGGCAGTATGTAAACTGCCCGGGCGGTATGCATACTGCCCAATGAGTCGGGTAGTATGCATACTACCCGGGTGGTATGCATACTGCCCGGGCTGTTGGGTAGTTTGCATACTGCCCAAGTTAGCATATGACCCGTAACATATATATATATATATATATATATATATATATATATATATATATATATATATATATATATATATATATATATATATATATATATATATATATATATATTATGTATGTATCCGGGACTTTAATAATACGGTAATATACTCTCCAAAACATAAGAAGAAACAAAAAAATAGTGGATAGGCGTAAAATCAAAGCTTAAATTAAAGCGCCCTTCCAACAGAGAAGAAACAACATAGGTACAATTAAGATTGCACATAAATGATTACATTGAGTAAGCTTACAACATAAGAAAACATATAAAACGTCAGACACGCCCGCCCGCCATCCACCCGCCGAGCAACCCATCACAGATGCTTAGCATGGGTGACGAACGGCCTCTTCTTTCTTTAGGACGGAAATACCACCAAACATCGGGTAACAGGTGTTAGGTGTACGTACATGACTCACTGAATCGGAATATTGCACATTTGACCCAGTTTTATGCCCCTGAGGTCATCTCAAGTCATGAAAGGACTCGAACAGAAGTCTTGACAATGACTTTAGATAAAACATGCTAGAGTGCTGAAAACACCATGGATGCGTTCAGCTCAACGATTCGAATCGACTGATATGCAACATGACCTTTGGCTTTTCTGTGTCCTGGGCCTAAGGTCAAACCTTTAAGTTGACCTTTTTAGGTCATCTTAACCACCGCCCGTATCGTATTGGTGTTTTGCTAGCCGCGAACGTAGGTACACTGAAGACTTTTTTACCATTTCCTGGAAGCTAAACCCGCCATAGCATGGTAGCTTGAATAAGGGGGAGGGTAAAGTCCGTTCCCCTGTGGCGAGTTCGTACTTCCTTTTCTTAGAGGTCTTTGTTCTTATTTTATCACGCCTTATTTGATTCATGTTTATTTTCTTGTCATTGTTGCTGCGCGCGTGAAAAACTATATTTCTTTTTAGCTCAGAAAACCGAGTCAACGTCGATGTTAGAAATTGTTTTTAGTTCAGTGTGCGGCCTACTTTCAAACTGCCATGTTCTTTATTTTCGTCTCTCAATATAATTTTATCATATTTTATCTACTTGTCTCGGCCGCCACATTGGTGACCCCGACGTGATGTTCTTTATCTTATAACAGTAAATTATTGATCTTCAAGATTTTATTTATCTATTCGATGTCGACGTCTGTCCTTCGACGCGACATCAAGAATAAGAACGAGGAAGTGTCAATCATCGAAACGAAAGCGAAATACGATATACATTTATCATGCAACAAGAACCATTATCGACCAGAAACGATCACTTGAAGAATCGCCGGTGGTTTCGGGCCGCGCCGCACCCATGCCGCGCCGCCTCCCTCCGCACCGGCTGATACCAGCGCACCGACCTCAAGCTCGCTTCTCCCAAGAGCGGCTCCGCTGACTTGTGGCCAAACCAAGGTGGATCCAGGCCGCGCTGAGCCACGCCGCCTGCTCCACCGCGGTGCTTCTTATCTTCATGCCTACCTATCTACATACCCAAGCGTTCGTCAACGACATGAACCTATACGTCGCCGCGAAACGCAGAACACAAGTCAGCGAGTCGCAAGTCGCCGTCGCCGGAGTTTCCGGGCTGCGCCGGTTTATCGCCGCTCCCGTCCGACGCGGCAGGCGCTGTGCCGCCATTAATAAGAGCTGGTCTGCGCCCATTCTGGCTGACAATTTGTGATCGATTTTTGCTAGCAATTTACTTTACCTTACTTTCTAGCTCCGCTCTGGGGCGGGGAGTATTGTGGCGAGTTCGTACTTCCTTTTCTTAGAGGTCTTTGTTCTTATTTTATCACGCCTTATTTGATTCATGTTTATTTTCTTGTCATTGTTGCTGCGCGCGTGAAAAACTATATTTCTTTTTAGCTCAGAAAACCGAGTCAACGTCGATGTTAGAAATTGTTTTTAGTTCAGTGTGCGGCCTACTTTCAAACTGCCATGTTCTTTATTTTCGTCTCTCAATATAATTTTATCATATTTTATCTACTTGTCTCGGCCGCCACATCCCCCTTGCCGTTTCCCCCCTGGTCGAGCCAGAGCTTCGCGGAAAAAAACGAGCGTGTTACCCGTGACGAGAGGAAGCCGATAATTCCCAATTTTAAGGTCCTAGGTCATTGGTTGACCTTCCAGGTCAGGTCAATGACCCAAAAGTCGGTAAAATACGGATCTATTCAGGGTAACTTTTAAAGGGGGTAAAGGGGGAATTTCCCCCCTTCGAAAATTCCGCCCCCCCTTTCAAATTGTGCTGAACGGCTAGGGAGGGAAGGGGGAATTTCCACCTTTCAAATTTATTTTTGAGCCCATTTTCAATCAATTCGCTACTCAGATTCTATAATCATCGTTGATCATATATACTCTAGTCATCAATCAACGTTGCTGGCGCTGAGATAATTTTCAATTTGAGGTTCCATCCAACCATTTTACGTTCAGTGCAGCGGGAACTCCAGATTTGACCCGATACCGATCGGATGGTCGGTAGGACCGTCTCTTGTCTTGTCTTGTCTCTTCCGTCTCTTCGCAATCACTGACATATCGCTACAGGCGTCGGCGTAGAAACCGGCGGGGGACGGGGTACATGACCTCTCCGAACCAAGGGTCTTCCTTCGAACCAGGGTCCTTCAATCAGTCTTGGCCTAGCAAAAATAGTCACGTGCTACCTCTCTCTATTTAGAAAGGCGCTACTTGATCTTTGGCCAGGGTAATAGGTTGATACTACTGATTGACATTTGCAAGGGCGCAGTCAAGTTGGGACCTCCCCCGCCCCTTACCGCCAAGGTAGGTACCTACGTAGGTATATTTTTTAGCTAATTTATTTTGTGGCAACCTAACAATATAAAGTGGCCAGAATCCGGGGAGAGAGTAGGATTTGGGGGTAGGTAAGGTTCTGCAGGCGCCATCCTAACAAAAACCTAATGGCATTGGCCCCCCCCTTTCAGATGCCCCTGGATCCGCCCTTGCCCCGAACTTTATTCCCCCTCTCGACTTTTCCTGTAAAAGTAACCCTGGACCTATTAGAACGTCGTGAAGTGTCTCTGCTGGTAGGCAGACAACTGAACCAGTGACAACTGAACCAGGGACAACTGAACCAGTAAAACTGAACCAGGGACAACTGAACCAGTGACAACTGAACCAGTGACAACTGAACCAGGGACAACTGAACCAGTAAAACTGAACCAGGGACAACTGAACCAGGGACAACTGAACCAGTGACAACTGAGCCAGTGACAACTGAACCAGCGACAACTGAACCAGTGACAACTGAACCAGCGACAACTGAACCAGTGACAACTGAACCAGTGACAACTGAACCAGTGACAACTGAACCAGGGACAACTGAACCAGTGACAACTGAACCAGTGGACAACTGAACCAGTGGACAACTGAACCAGTGACAACTGAACCAGTGACAACTGAGCCAGTGACAACTGAACCAGTGACAACTGAGCCAGTGGACAACTGAACCAGTGACAACTGATCCAGTATGGCAACTGAACCAATGGACGACTGAACCAGTGGACAACTGAACCAGTGGACAACTGAACCACTGTGGACAACTGAACTAGTGGACAACTAATGTCGTACTGCGCTGTATAGGTATAAGGTAGCGCGTGGCTGGACGGACGGTCTGTGCCAATCTGCCGGTCTGCCAATTGATCTGTGTCCGATCTATTAGAGTGTCCGTCCGAGAGCCGTACGACGGCTGACAGGGCTGACAGAGCCTGGTGGTCGCGAACTGGTGTGGTAACTCACCTGGGACGCCCGAATAATTAGCAACGTATAAATAATATTCACTTTGATGGCCTAACTCGCTCTCGGGACAGACAGGGCACGCTACGTGGGCTTGGCAGAGTTCAGCCCGCCTGGGCCCAGAGGAATCTCCGGTATATAAATGGATTCATTGTTCGGGCTTACATCGGGCTTACGCCAAACGTCGCACAACTAGGGCTAAACAACGGCTGTCCTGAGCTCGCCGAGAGGGCATATACCTCCGGCAGACCGCAGAGCATGGGCTTTAGTCGGCGTTTTTGTGTCATACGCCAACTTAAGTCTTTAGCCCAAACGCTTGCCGACTTTAGTCCAAGCGCTAGCTGACTTTAGCCCGACTAAAAATCTCTGGCAAACCGCACTTCAGCCTGCTTAGGCCCGGAGTAAAATTGCTTGCTGGGCTACTGGTTAGTGGTTCAGTTGTCACTGGTTCAGTTATCACTGGTTCAGTTGTCACTGGTTCAGTTGTCACTGGTTCAGTTGTCCACTGGTTCAGTTGTCCACTGGTTCAGTTGTCCACTGGTTCAGTTGTCCACTGGTTCAGTTGTCCACTGGTTCAGTTGTCACTGGTTCAGTTGTCACTGGTTCAGTTGTCATACTGGTTCAGTTGTCACTGGTTCAGTTGTCACTGGTTCAGTTGTCACTGGTTCAGCTGTCACTGGTTCAGTTGTCACTGGTTCAGTTGTCTACTGGTTCAGTTGTTCACTGGTTCAGTTGTCCACTGGTTCAGTTGTCCACTGGTTCAGTTGTCACTGGTTCAGTTGTCCCTGGTTCAGTTGTCACTGGTTCAGTTGTCCTGGTTCAGTTGTCACTGGTTCAGTTGTCATGGAACCGTCGCTGCTATGTTTTTTGGGGGAAGGGGGGATGATGGGGTGCTGATCACGATGGGGTGCTGATCAGTGAGAGGCCCACTTGGGTGCGGGCTAAGTTTATCAGGGTTTCATTCAATGACCTCCTTCCATGCTTTGGCGAAAAAAATGTGAGAATTTGGTCAGCATTTTGCTAGAAGCGCCTTTGTGCAAACAGTAGAGGAAAGTGAAGGGAAATATGATTTGGAAGCATATGGAAATATCTTAGTATTCATTTGTCACGCAATTGTCTCAAAATACACGCACAATCGCGAATGTTTCCTGGCTGTTCGCTAACATTTCAGACGACACACTCCTTTTTAGCAGTCGCAACTTGCCTAGCAACGGACTGCGGTCTTTTGAAAAACGGCCTCTGTTGCCTGGCAACCAGTTGAATAAACCTTCATGACCCTGTGTTCGCAATACTAAGCGAACAGACTCCTGGGTTGCGTCAGACTGAGTTGCGGTTCTATGCTATTAGTTTCTTATAGGTATCTTGATTAGAACCTTGCGTTGAAATAGTGCAATTTGGAGAGCATTACGGTTCATTTCCATTTTAAGAGGTAGGATACTAGGATCTAAGCAGTATTATTTAAACTTGAAGTGTCGTGGCTTTGAGGGGCCAGGGCAGGGACAATGGCACTTGTCTTAGAATAAGTTGTGTTGAGCGATGCACGTGTTTTGGTTTCAGTTTCGTGAATTTGTCCAGTCCGAAATTTATCGGTAGGGCTCTAATAATTACTTTCAGGGTAGTAAAGCCATTCTTACCATCCACCACCATAGGGTTAATGTTGAATTTCTGTAATCATAGATAGGGCTCTGGCCCTACCAAGCCTAAAGAAAACGACACCCATGGGGTGCAAACCGCAAAAAGCCGTTATGGCTGAAGAAGCAAAGCAGACATTGATATATACTATGGAGTTTGACCCTACTTGATGCACAGACTACTTGCCTACTACCTAGGTCATGTTAGGTTACGCTGTTTTTTGTTAAATTTGACATATAGGTAGGTAGGTACTTACCAGTTTCCTGACTCCTGAGTCAAAACAGGACAGATGTTGGTATTAGTTAAAGGGACTACCTATCCCACCTTCTAAAATGTTGTTAAAACCAGTTAAATTGTGCCGGACTTTATAGATTGGATGACCAGGAACACGGTTCTGGCATTTATTTTTCATTAAACATCTTAGGCTTCCCATATTCCAAACACAAACTTTCAAATATGTGACGTCACAGCCCAAAATTACCTCCTTCCCCAGGCCACATTACTGTCATAAAGCTGATTCTTTTTACTCTGTAGGCACCACAACAAAGTTCAGATTAAGTTTTAAGCGATTTTTCAACAAACAAACCCATTTAAATCAGAATGACTAAACGAGGTGACGTCACACTAACGGTCGCTCCATGTTGAAGATAGGGCCTTGTACAAGGCCCATTTTCAAATGAAGGGAACAAATTTCTTCAACACCAAGAGGCCACAGGGGTTGCAACCTAGATAGATAGTGGTTTCTGAAACTCGCCACAAACTTGGCTATCTCATCTCAAACCCCATGTTAAAGGTGGGATAGTCCCTTTAACAAAGAGTCAGATCATCAAAGCAATAATAATATGCTTACCAGATAATATATTTTGACTTGATTTCATATTGGATAGTTGTTCAGGGCGCAACCAAGTACCTATAAAAGCACCTGTGCAGTATTTACCATTACCGCTGATTAGGTGGGGCATTCCACGATAGATCGTACCAGGCCCGTCACCCTCATCTCTCAGATTTGAATCAAAATTGGTACAAGGGGTAATCATAGGCTCCAAAAACACCTGCCAAAATATCAGACTTCTCAGATGAAAACTTTTTGAGTTACATTGCATAATATTTTCTAAACTTCAGATTGTAAGGGTGAGTTTGATGAGCTATAACTCAAAAACGAGCTAAGCAAGCAACAAACGGTTAACAGCTTTGAACTAACGATGAATTAACCCTCGCCCGCACATGGGGGGGGGTGGTTGCCACCCCCCCCCCAGGCAGTCTTTCTGCTCTACACTCAACATTTTTAGAGCTAGAAGGCTGATTTTTCGTATAGCTGCTCGTCTATCCTTTCTTGATGTCCACTGAAAAATTCAAGTTTCTGTGATTTTTGGTTTCGGAGATATGACCTTGTTTTTCAGGTCATGTCATGACCCAAATGGCCAATTCTCAACATCTTACGTTTGCCATGGGCCTTGTGAGCTTTTGACACCCCGATTTCGGCCTTTTTTGCCAGTCTTACCTCCCACCTATATCATGGAACATGTTGTTCGACGATGTACAGGGGTCAAGGTCAGGATAATTGCGTTTTAGGCAAGCTGAATTTACTTTTTGTGAAGTTTTTTTGACTGCATTTTTGGTAAAAGCTTCTCAGATCATGATTTCATGTGATATGGACCCAAAAACAATCGGTGCACACATCAGTATACACACAGACACACGCAGACATACAAACACATATAATTGACCTTGACCTAACTTGACCTGAAATGACCTCAGCAGCAAAATTCTGGTCGGATAGTGTGACAAAGAGGTTCTAGCTTGCTTGGCACCAGAAAACAGCATCGTCATCGGTATTTGATAAGCAGCGCACTTGATATCCAACGGTGACCCAAAACAGCAACATTTTTTAGTTTGACCTGACCTGGAAGGTCAATGACTGACCTGAGAAGGTAAAACTGGGTATCATTGGATTCGTCTCTTCCCAAAGAATCTTTTTGGTCTTTACTGCTAAGCTCTATCTCCAACAGGAACGAAATGGCGCGGGGGGGGGGGTGGCAACCACCTATGTGCGTTCTAGGATGGGAAAATGGCATGTGCGGGCGAGGGTTAAAGAATAATACAGTATTTTTGAAATTGGAAAGAAAAGCTTTACATATTGAAAAAAAGTCGTAGTATTTTTTTAAATTGTCTATAATGGCCCTTGGGACCAAAATTTTTGCCATTTTTAATTCTTCAAAATAATCCTCAGGTCCTTTAAAATCGACATGCAAAAAAATTAGAAAGGTGTTCTTTCTATAAGTTCCTCATTTAAATGTATACAAAATGGGTTTCCGGGGGGTCGGTACGACCCCTGCTCGCCGTTTCGCCTCTAATGGAGCTAGAACCTTGCTGAAAAAAACGAGCATGTGCGCCGTTACAAGATGCATCGAATGATACCACATTTTAAGGTCTCGGGTTCATTGGTGACCCCTGAGGTCATTTCAAGTGACCCAAATTACGGGTCCGGTTTTTGATAGATAACTTCGCAACAAATGGTCGCAGAGCCGCGATTTTAGCATCTTTGTGTTTGCCTAGCTCCGGCGCGTCGAATGGTATACTGCTTGTTCTGGTGAAGTCAGCTTAAGTCGCTGACCTCGGGTCAGCACACTGCCGTGTATTTGGCTCCGCGCCCCGACCGGGCGGCCCAGCCGGCAGCCAGCCCCCGGGCATCAGGTGACCGCCCCGAGTCCGCGGCAAAGCCAACCAGCGCGGCGCTGGACAAACAGCGCCGCCACAGAGATGGTTAACAGTCGGGTCAGGCCACGAGGCTGGGTGAATGAGATCATATTGCACATCATTCGATTCGCAAGGTCTTCCCGAGTCCATTGGTAGCCTTCCCGTCTCTCTAGCTCAATTTGATCGGGAGTTATTGAAGAAAAACTCTTATGACCCTAGTGACGTGCGAATGACGTCACGCAAAGTCAACAATGCAAAAGTGAGGCAAAAATGACTTCAATTGAACTTTCAGTAGGGGAGAGTGGGGAAAGATGCCCAGGGTTTTGCTTTGTCATATATTATTCGAAAATGACGATCGGAAAGCAAAAACTTGGAGTTTCAACGGAAGCCGACATTATTTTTCTCCAAAAATATCACACTTACGTGCCTGAAATATGATAACTTTTTTTGCTATTAAGCATTTTCCTGAAGAAGTGAAAGAGGGCATCTTACCCCACAGGGTGGGAAAGACGCCCCCTGGCGTTGGGGAAGATGCCCCCTGCACTATAAGTGACATAAATGGGCACGTGAATCGCCTGAACGAATCAGTTGTCCCTTCGAGCCTGCAGAAGACACCAAACGTCATCGTAAGGGCCCTCAAAAGTAGTCGTAAGGGGCTTCAAAGGTCATCGTTAGGGCCACCATAGTCCAGCGCGGCCAAACAAGCCTCCGTGGTGGCGTTCGGAGACCACTGTGGGGCCTTTATATGTCTTCATGATGCTTGAGGGCCCTCGAGCCCATCATGGGGACCTTAGATGCCAGCGCGGCCCGTGGAGCAAACGTGGGAGCCCTCAAAGGATGTCGTGAGGGGCCCTGGAGCCAATAATGGGGCCCACATAGGCCGTCGTGAGGACTCTCAGAGTCAGGTGCCGGCCTAAAAGTCGCTGTGTGGGCCGAGAGACCGGCATGGGGAGCACCCGACCGTACTGGACTCTCAATAGTCCCAGATCGGCTCTTGTCTCTCATCACAAGTATGTAAAAAATGATTTGACGGGCTGCTTGAAGGACAGCCTAGGGATTTAGGATCAGCCGTCTTTCCCCATCAGGACAGGGGGCATCTTACCCGAAGGTACCGAAGTAACATTAAATCAGCACAATTTGTTAGCCATAAAACTACACCCTGAAACAAACTGTTTGGGACACAGTACACGCATGTTAATGTATCACGACTATAGCAAGGGACGCAAAAATTATCTACCTCCTTTGATATTTACGATGTTTTGACACCAAAATATTTTTTGAAGGCAGGAAATAAAAAACATGCAATCACCAGCCAGCCGTTGCCCAACTGAGCTTCGCAAATTTTTGTGCAGTTAACAAGGCAGGCTTCCGCTTTACGCTAAGAACATTAATTTCCAGGTTCGATTCTTTGTTTCACCGCTAGAGGGGGTGGGGCGTCTTTCCCACCCTGGGCATCTTACCCCACTCTCCCCTAACCAGTGATGTCACTAGGCAGCTTAACCACACCATTTGTAGGCTCTCTTCCGAAATCACAATTCGAGACCATTAGGGTGACGCAAAATAAGTACATTTATAGAAAGAATGCCTTCCTAATTTTTTGCATACTACTTAAAAATGACCCAAAAATGTTTGTAAGTAAATAAAAATTCAAAAAAATTTGGTCCCAAATGCATAAAAATGCAAATGAAAGGAAACTCGGGGCGTTATATATCAAAAATAGTATATATTTCAAAATTTTAAAAATGCATATTATTCTTTGTTTCAATGCAAGTTCAATGCCATATAGCATTTGGCATTTGGATTATCCGTCTTAGAGTTACAGCCCGCCAAACCTGGGGCTGCAACGCAAGATCCAAAACATGTTTTACACTATAACTCAAAAAACACTCATCTGATAAGCCTGAAATTGTTACAGGAGGATTCAGAGCCCCTGATTACCCCTTAGACCAATTATCGTTAAAATCCGAGAGATGAGGGTGTCAAATTGACAAAAAGTGGTACGATCTATCGTGGAATGCCCCAGGTACCACCACACACTCTAGTCGCCATTTGCTGAATTGAATGAATAAGCTCCCTAGGTTGAGTGAAAACACATTACAGATGCAATTCAATGTTGTTATGAAAGTGACATCAAATATGCATAGCATAGCAGTACTGTGCCAAAGGCTATGTTGTGGGAGATATTGCAGGTAATGGTAAATGAAATTGTTGAGGTTAAGTGATGCTATATCAAACTTCAGCTGCATTGTTGATGCTAAAAGTGGAAAGTGATGCAGCTCAATCCAGAAGTGTGACAAGATTCCAAAGTTCTTTGCTGATACACCAAGCTTGTTTTGTTCACAGGCATGCCTGCCCATCAGTAACAATTGGTGTCTTTCCAGATGTATCATCTCTCCTCTAGGACGGTTCTCAGTAGATTGGTTGCTGGCCTGCACTATCCCTCAGCACACCATGGAAACCTCCTATCATCACATGCTGGTAAAAGGTGAAAGGTCTTCTTCAAATATTTTGAAGAGTAATGTAAATAATATAGTAATCATTAGTTTCTGTTTGTTTTTGTGGCACATGCTACTAGCTCTTTTCTACTTTAAATATGCTCACCATTTAATTCATTCTCACATTGCATGTTCGGGGGCATGGATGAATGTGCTTGTAATTGGTGTTTTTGTAGGAGTCGACGTCTTTCCCTTTTCTACTATTTAGTAAGGCTATTTAGTAAGGCTAAGGCTATGTAATGAACTGTTTAGCACTGCCTTGGTACACATTATGTTAATAATTAGGTTTAATAGCCTTACTATCATAAGTAATAAACAGCAAAAGAAAAGGCTGGATATAGGCAGCTCAGGAGCTTTTGGCTTATGGCTATTGTCATTTTCGAACCCATATTCAATGTTTGAAAACGGTATGTCCCAAGAACTCTTTGATTATGCTTGCAGCCTTTTTCATGCTGAACTATTGTGACAATTAGGCTAACAATCTCCTTTATTGAGGCCACCTCTTACCCCATTCCCTGAACCAACCAGTGCCAAAAGCAGCAGTATGAAGTACACAGCCCCACAATGCAGTGGTGTGGGTGACCGGTGTCCGCCCGTGCTCCACCGACAGGTGCCTGCAGACCGGGCTGGGCCACACCGCCGCGCCCGAGGGCCGCCGGCCCGTCACCCGACTGCAAAAGTACGTGTTCGGACGGTATGTAGAGTACCTCCAGCGCTTCCAGAGAGCGCTGGAAAACGAGTTCCCGACCGCCTTTCGACTCTACCGCGTCTTCTCGGTCGGCGTCAAGGACTTCGCACGCGATGTCAAGTCGTTCGCGCTTCTGGCGCGGAAGGTACTCACGTGTTTTTTGTTTTGTTTTGTTTTGTGTGTGCTTGTTGTTGTTGGGGTGGGGGAGGGAGAGGCTGTGATCAGTGATGTATGGTTATAGGTCATCTGCGCTATTAAAGGGACCCTCCCACCTTAACATTAGTTTTGAGTTGAGATAGCCAAATTGGTGGCCATGGCCTGCAAATACCGGTTTGGGCACTCACAACATCGAGAAATACTTTAATTCGAAGATATGGAATTTCAAACTTGCAGTTTTCGGATTCTAAGGGGCTAATGCATTGGAATGCCCCCTTAGAATTTGTGACGTCAGCGGAGATCTAACGATTTTTAAATCTTAGACTAAAACCATCGTTAACACGTGGTGGTATACGCTGCATTGCGCGCAACGTCTGCCGCACTTTAAGGCTGCCAAATTATTGCTTCCAAATAAAGTCGCTAGTAACAGGGAGATCCCAAAAAGTAAACAAAAGTAAAAGCCTAATATCTTGAAAACCAGTGAATATTTTTCGGTGAAATTTGGTAGATATTCGTTTTCGCTCTTTCTGAACCAAGGGACATCACTTTCATGCCAATTCGTTAACTTTTTTGAAGGTGGGAGGGTCCCTTTAATTGAGACATTTGTTCAGGTAAAAACTTTTCGCTACCGAACTTTTTGAACAAATATTTACACATATTCACTTTCTTACTTTTTACTTGCAGTTTTTATGTGTGTAACAGTGTACACTCAATGGTTTTGGGCAAAGAATGTGTGCTCCTCTGTTTTGTTATTAATTTCCCTTTTTCCCCTAGTTTTGTCAAGGCGTTGACCGATGCTGTTTGTCTTTGGGTATTTGCGGCATCGCTCGGCCTATGTGCGCTACAGTCCCTCTGCGCTTGTGTGTGGCACAGCCTCCCTCTGTTCAGGTGTGTGACAGTCCCTCACCACGCCGCACAGGTTCACGGCCTGGGTCTGCGCAGCCTGAGTCGGCGCGAGCTGGAGCTCTACTTTCAGATGCCGCGTGATATGCGTGCCGTGGCGCCTGTCCTGCTCGTGGCGGCCCTGCCGCTGGCGCAGAACGTCGTCTTTCCGTTAGCGTGAGTGGAGACGGAGGGAGGGACGGGTATTGGTGGCTGCAAGAACGAACGGGTTTGTACAAGGAGGAATGGGTGGTCGGTATAAGACGAATCGGGACTGTTTAGTCCTGGAGGAACGGGCTCGTTTGTACCGTTGTCGGAATACATTAATGGGTTGGGTCGGTAGAGAAAGCGATTAACGTGCCGATGTCGGAGGGTGCAGATGGTAGGAATGGAGCGATGGATAAAGAAAGGAGCGGACGGAGCGCCCCCGGGGGAAATAGATGTTGTACCAGGTACGTATTACGACAACAATTCGGTGTTGACGCCTAATGCGCGCGTCTGTCGCTGCCCTCAGGTACTTGTTCCCGCGTCAGCTGCTATGTCGACACTTCTGGTCCCTGCAGCAGCGGTCCGACTTTGCCCTGTACGAGCACAAGCGGAGGCTGGCCCACCACCTGTCTGCCTTTCGCCACCTTCAGGCCAGGTAACGGGGGCTCGGTGCCACAGAGCGGCGGTGACACAGAGGAATACCAGTTCACTATCAACGCACTATCTGATTCATTGTATCTACTGTAGAAATGACATAGCCGTTAGTCACGTTTGGCGAAAGGAATGCAATGTTTGCAGCTGGTTTAACTGTGCCAGTTAGTGTAGTGCCGCTTGCCACCTTTTTGAATAGGTTTGTATGGGTGGCCAGTCCCTGGTGACTTCAGTTGGCCTATTATGGCCACTGGCATTATTGGCACGTTATCGGCGAGTTAGCTACCGTGGCTGACAGGTTCTTGACGTTTACTAGACCTAGTACAGGACCTTTTACCGACCCCTACCGACCCCTCTGATCTTTACTGTCCCGGCCGGCAGACGCCACCTGGTGACTCCCGAGTCGGCGCGGCTCTCCCTGAAGCACGTGTTCACACTGCTCGGCTCGGGCCAGGTGCCGTGCTCGGCCGATATCCTTGCGCTACGACCTATCTTCGAGGGAGGCCCGTTCAGCCTGGAGCGGCTCAGTGCCGTGCAGGTGGTGAGTCGACGAAACCGAACCGCCCCTTCTGACTGACTCCCAACAGTGACTGAGATCGCCCCCACAGTCAGTCATAGCAGTGGCAGACACCTCGCTACTGTTCCTCCCAGCAGCGGCTGATACCTACTGTCCCTTTGAATGGCGGAGAGTGTCCCTCCGGCAACGGCTGACATGAATAACAATGATGCTCCTCGGTGAAGCACTTACTAGAGATAGCTCAGCAGACCGCATCACTGCTGTACTGCCGTGCTTTCTTGCATAATACGATTAGGATCTCAGCTCTTCTAATATTCTAATATTCTAATATTCTATTTTATATTAAACTTACATTGCTATGGAAACGTTATTTTGTTAGATCTGTTACCCGTCTCCCGTCAGTTGACAGTCTGCGCCGTCTCGCCCCTGTTCAGCGCGGTCTGGGCTGCTCACCGTTCTGTATTTGTTAGATCTGTCTCCCGTCAGTTGACAGTGTGCGCCGTCTCGCCCTGTTCAGCGCCGGCTGCTGAAGCTGCACGGTCTGGGTGTGCTCACCGTTCTGCGGCGCCGGCGACTGCGGGAGCACGGCGAACTGCTGCGACACATGGACCGGGCCATGCTGGCCGAGGGAGTGACTGCCATGTCACAGGAGGAGCTCTACTATGTGAGTCGGATCTGGGAGTCCCGTATTATTCTGTTGGATAACTGTGATACCACATCCACCTGCATATATTTATTTCGGTGCAGCAGCAGTTCACCTGTCTGACTCAAACGCCTCCGTTTCTAACACAGCTTTCCGCGTGTGCGCCCGGCTGGCTGGACGTCCTGTCTGCAGTGTCCAGACGGCTTGGGTCACAGGGGATGGGCACCTGGCCCCTGTGGCGCTTGCCCCTGGCTGACCTGGTGTCCCTACGTGCCCTGCAGGCGTGTTTCCTGCGCGGCCTGAACCCGCAGAACCTGCCGCACGAGCAGCTGGCCTGGTGGCTGAGCGAGTGGGCCACCGTGTCGTCGTCCATAGAGCCGGCGGCCGTCTCCCTGCTGTTGCACTGTCCGCTGCTGCTCGGCTACAACCAGCCCACCAACTGGCAGCTGCGCTACTGAGTCGACGGGTGTGTCTAACGGACGCGGAGAGGCGCCGCTGCACCGTCACCGCTCTGCCAGGTGAGGCGCCGACGGGGTAGGGCCGGGCCGGGCAGAGCATGGAGGGTGCAGGACACTAGCTGGGACTTCAGAAGCCATGTTAGGGATGGTTCACGTTGTCCTGGCACTGCTGGGGCCGTATTGACGTCGATCATTTTCGTAAGAATTTTCTTACACATGACCTACATCGCAAGATTTTTTTTTTTTTTTTTTAGTCATGTGAACGCCGTCGATAAAACTTTAGAAGTGGTGACGTGAATACCAAATTATCAGGGATACGGAGCCGTAGAAATTTCAGACAGCTCCGGCTCCGGGCAAAATGTGCCGGCTCCGGCGGCTCCAGCTCCGGCTCCGGCTCCGCATCCCTGCAAACTATGCTTACGAAAAGAAAATCGACTTACGAAGTCGACTTGAATACGGCCCCTGGTTGTAATCTCTGTGCTACGCGCCCAATGTTGTCATGTTTGAGGTAGGAACCTCAGCTGGAAATTTACTTTGCGATGGTATTATTGCATTCCATCATTCCATTTCGATTCCGATGGTACCAAATTCTGTCTCCTAACTTACCGTCATCTGCTAATTGTTACGTGAATTTCGAAATTAAACTGTTGTGGGAAATTATCTTTTGGGCTTTAGGGCTTATTTTTCATGAATTTAACGATTTCGACATAGCAAAATATTGAATTATAAACCAGTTCCACGGAGGGAATTTGAGAAATGTTTGGTACCGTGGTCAATTCAGGGAGCTGTGACAATTACCTCAGATTCATGGGATTAAGATTTGGATGGAAATCCAGCAGCCACACACATTTATTTTGCTCGTCCTCTTGGCGAAGATGTACTAAGTATATTTTGAGTTACGTTGCGATGGGCCTGAAGACATCATAAATGATAATTTCGTGCATAATGAAATATTCGCCGATATTTTTGTGGTAGAAAGGTAGCTGTAAACGGTAGGACCTAAATACCCACATGTTTTGGTTAATCGGATCTAGATAGTTATATTCGGTGCATCATTTCAGATCTTTCCGACTGGCTGGCTCAGGTATCGATCAATGGAAGATAACGCTGGTGATTTGGTCCAACTCGCCTTCAGTTCCAACTTCCACGGGTAACTAAAATAGGCGCGGTAACCGGCAGCGAATACCGGCATCTGAGTTGTTTCGAATAACACGGTAGTTGAAATACGATCTCCAGTGCAATTTTCATGTGTGATGTGGAAGCGAAATCAAAGAATCTTTCGCGAATTCGAGGTACCTAGGCATTTCACTCTTCGTCGTTATTGAAATTTATTGTGGACATGAGGCTGTAATGGGTGCATTCAGATAAGATATGGTTGTTAATGCAGTAACGAAATCAGCGGCACTTCTTATAATGTCACGCACCACATGCGCACGACTCATTACGCTTGAAATATGCCATACCGAAAAACGAGTAATCACGAGTGTCTTTGTGATATATGAAATAATTGTTGCCCATTTGTATCTAAAGCTTTCATGCCTAAAATTGATGGCATGGAGGTCTTAAACGCTGAAAGAAATGTTATGACTTTCGTTCAAATGATAACAAAAGCATGATTCGTTATTTGTTGAGGCTGCGCGAGATGAGGCTTTTAAGTTTTATTTTTGAATTTCGACAGACAATGCTCTGTTTGCACTAAAATGTGTCGTGTACGAAAACGAGTTGCAAGTTTACCGTGGAGTTTCACGTGTAATAACTGTCGCTCAAAGATATCTGAATATGTGTCAGTGATCTGCAAGCGGGCCGAGTACTTCGAACAGATATTGCTATTTATCAAATGAAGTCAGGCTAGGGCTACAGGCCATAGGTTCTTAGGAACCACATTGTGGATGATGAGTGTAGCATGATCGCTTGCCAAATGCACCGCCAACATTTCATTTCAGCGATAAGTCAGTGGCCCTGTTCAACGCATTTTCAGCTCAGCGTAGGCTAGCATTATGCTGCTATGATATGTGCAATTGAAATCGTGTAGGAGTATCCGATAACATGCTGTGATGGCTTACTTGCGAGTGTTATTGAATGTCATGAGAGATCTTGAGTAGTTCGATGATTGTTCATTCGGCTACTCATATCTAGGAAATGTGATACTGTGCCTTTACAAGTGTTGGCTAGGCATAATATATGTTCGAATATATCAATATTTGTGATCATATTGTGAAGGTAAACTGACCACAGAATTCTTACTCAGAAAGCATATACAAGGGAAGTGAAGTGGTAGATTCGTTTATTTTGTTTCTATACTATGAACATAGTTTTCATTGGATGCTAGTACTACCTCTTTATCTTTCTAGTTGAGGTTTATTTGCCATTGGGTCTACAGTGCAGGGATATTTGTATCTCGCACTCCTCTAAGATGCAAGGATAAGAATTTGTTATCTCTGCATCCCTCTGAGATGCGAAGATAATGTCTCGCGGGTTCAAAGCTAAAAATCAAGAGTTCAAGTGATGATGGGTCAATAAGCGAGCCATTTTTAGCGGTTGTTTGTGTATGAAACTCATGAACTAAATACAAAATACTCTAATTCTATTTTTACATATCATATACATTTGAATATGATATTTAAATAATTAAGAATAAACCTCAACATAGAAAGATATACGAGTAGGATTCCTCATGGCTCACTCGTGGAAGATCGGATATCTTTTCCTCGCGTGTAACCGAAAAACCTCGCTCCTTCGTCGCTCGGTTTTTCAGTAACCCGCTTGGAAAAGATATCTTTATCTTCCACTCGGAGCCATGAAGAATCCTCTATATGTGTGCATTTTGAAACGACAGGTACGATTGGTAGACCAAAGACCATTGTATGGGCTCTGCCTCAACGTATATTTAACTGATTACCATTTCACTAACTGAACATCACATTGCGATGGCGCTGAAGCTTGTAAGTCTCCGCATTATACCATTGCATCCTAAGTGGTCATTGACATGGGTACGTGGGGTACTAGGACATAACACTCAGATTTACATGCGAGTGATTGAGCCGGAAATGATCGCATCTACTCGCCTTTTATCCCTGAGATGCCTTTCTCGCATCATGTGCAAAACGGACGCGTGAGAGGGTACCTCATCAGGCCGGCCCATCCTCCAGTCCTGGGGCGGAGAGCCGGCCAGGGAGTCGGGCGAGAGGCCACCCAGCCGGCGCCGTGGAGAGGAGCGCCGTGTCCGGCCGGCGCCCACCGGCATCCCAATGTCCACCACCAGCGGGTTTTTGTGCACCACGAACGTCTCGTTTAACGGGGTCTCCACGACAGACTGGGTCCCGCGCGTCACCACCGGTCTGCGGTGCGGTGACAGCGGCGGAGAGCACGACTGGTCGCCGCACGCGCACTCGCCGTGACCCCCACACGTGTCAAAGAAGAAGTCCTCTGCGACGGGCTGTGTGGCAGCGCCGGGCCGTTCTGGGCCGACGCCTCTGGAGCAGTGACTCATGGGCCGCCGGCAGCCGGGCGCTCCTCGAGTTGGTGGGAACAGGCCCCGGCCGCGCGGGGACGTGGAACCATAACTCCTGCCCATGGACACTACTGTAGGACGGCTCGGGGCGATCAGAGAGTCCGTCGAGTACTCGCTGTCCATGTCGGAACTGGCGCCCAACGTGGGGCACGAGTCGTCTCGCCGTAGCAGCCGAGGCACCTCGTCCACAGCTGGCACTGCTGCTGTTCCCGTCACGAGCTGGTCGGTGAGTGTCCGCAGTCTGGACAGCGAGTTGGCCACTCGTGCCTGTCCCACAGACGCACTGCGACCCACTGAACGGCGCGGCCGGCGCCTATTGTCCTTTGGCGGAAGTGCAGAGGTCTTTGGAGCCTCGAATGTGGGTAGCGACATCGGCGGTGGCCTTGGTTCGGGTGCATTCACTACCGGCTGACGCCCTGTCACCGGCCTGCCTGCTTGCGGCGGCTTGGCTGAGGTTACTGCCTCAGCGTTGGAGTTTGCTGGTGCTAGACGTGGAGGTGAAGACACGGATGACCGGACTGGTGACACGTCGTTTGATTTTGTCCCTCGTGTGTCACAAGGCATTGGACTGCTGGCTATGTTACTCTCCGCCAGTAGTTTCCTTATCTTCGTCATGGGGGACACCTGTGAGAGGCGGGGATGATTGACACATTTGTAACTTATAACATAGCATGCTGGATATTTATACGTATTACGTAGCAATTATATGCTGCGCCTCATGGATGACAGTTTTTATTCAGGGAAGGAATAAAATCTTTTTTAGCGCGTCAAATCCAAGAAGATAGCTGCTCTGTGTTTACACTAAATATTCTTGCATTTGCCCAAGACCGCGTCAAGTGACCATCACTCATAGTCTGTTAGGAATGGTTTGTTCGCTCGGTCGTGGGGATTACCGCTGTGCCAGCCAGCGCCCCCGGCCGCGAATACACGGGCCTGATCGGTCTTTAAACAGATCCTTCGGTCCGGTGACATGTCTTGAGGGCACTGCCTCGCTTCATGTCCCGGATCAGCCCTCTGACCTGCCGGGCCCGAGAAATCGGGATAGCCCAGCGTGCACACCTGTGCGGTGCCACATGGGGTGCGTGACAGGAAGCGTGCGGTCAAGGCTGTCCCGCTTGGGGGTACCGAAATACTTCGTACCACTGCCGTGTACCTATATAGTATGCTAACCCAGTATGAGTGTGTACTAACGACAAAAGGCCCAGGTGGGGCACAAACATATTTAAAAAAGAATGGTGCTTAGAACCGTTCATTTTTATTAATTCTTCTCTCGCTCAAGTGCTGAAATGTGCTAAAAGAATTGGTCAAGACCTTAACTTGATTTTAAAATTGCTCCATGTTGTCCTTATCATCTGGTAAGTGTAGTGATGTGACAGGATATTATAAAGTTGTCTTAAAGGTAGTGTGCCAGCTTTCCTGGACCATATGGAGTTAATGACCCGGATAAGGAGAACCGGATTTTTAGAACTTATCCATACCTTCAAAACTTATGGAAACGTCTTAAATTCTTCAAATTTTGAGTACCCCAGTGCGAAATTCGCCCCGACGGGTTGTCGGTCGTACCCCAACCACATTTCACACCACTATGAACAATAAATGCACACACTAAAATCGCTATTACCGATAGGCTCATCCAATCAAGTTTCGATAAACCCGTTCATCATCATCTCCTGCGGTTTCGAACACGCCTGTTAGGTGGCTTCTGATGCTCGTCGAGGTCGGAATTTCCAAATACGCGTGGTGCGTCGGGCCGCGCGCTCTGACTTCGGCCAAGAAAAATGCGTCAGCTGATCATTGTCATTTCTGCCACTTGCGTGTGGTGTAATGGGGTCATAACTTAAGAGACGGCTGTTTCATATCAATTATTTTACATAAAATCATATTTCAAACCACAAATTAATGTTCGACAGCCAAATTTAAGAAACAATACCAATACAGGCTTACAGTTTAAGGCTCGACATTGTGTTGTCTACGATTAGACAGCTGATAACTCATTCCCGTACGTCGTATGGTCGTAACACTATAATGACCTTTGCTTATTGTCACAAGTGCGCCGCATTCGCGATGGTTGCCCGACGCCTGTTTGCAGGTGAGCCCACTACAGTTGTTATACATATCTAAAAACCGATAAACTTTTAGGCGAAAAAGGCACTATTCCAGGCCCATTTTTGATTTTTTTTTTGCGATATTAGGTAAAAACAGAAGCTTCTTATCCTAGGAAAAATAAAACGGGAAATCTTTCAAAGGTGGCACACTACCTTTAATGGAATGTGGCTTACTTTAGGACAACTGGTTCATCTTTCCCTTGATATCCATAAAGATGTCGACTGTGGGAGCAGTTGACCCGGCCTTTTATCGCATCTTACCTATGTAAAAATCAACGACACTTACCTCGCGAGATGCATTAGGCGATAACCCTGCTCTTGGCTTTGGTTTCTGTTTTGGCTTTGGCACAGTCTTAGCGTAGCTCAACATCTGGAATTGTATTAGGTGCCTCGTTAATATTTCTGCTTGTGCTTACATGTTTATAGGTCGTGCTGTTTTACCGAAGCAAGTTTTACGGAAGTTTCCGCTAAAGTTAGTTATCGAACGAGGCAAATCATTTTCACACTAATCTACTTCTGCTTTGTGATTTTTTGAAAAGCAATATAAAACAATAATGACGCATACAACTGAACATCTCAGATCACATGCGTCAGCAGTAAAGCTAACGTGTCCTACCTTGTCGTGTGCTGACTTTTTCTGGTCGTCCTGTTGCTTGGAATACTGTTGTGATTTTGGCTTCACCACTGTGCGATTCTTCTTGGCAACTTGGTCCGCATACTCCTGCTGCTTTTGCATCTTCTCTTGCTGAAATAAAGACCTTACTGCTCATTCTGCTATTGAAAGGAAGCATATCCCTGGACCGCACAGTAATAGTATCAAAAGGCCTAATGTTCCTAGCGGTGGCATCCATGGTGTCATCGATCCAATGTATGACCTTTATTCCATATCAGGTGAGAACACACAGGGTGACTGGATAAAACCTTTCTTTAAAGAAATGCTAAGAATTCCTAACGGCATTCATTCTTCAAATTTAACGGCTAACATTTAAATTATATATATTTTAACATTTTTATGGTACGATGCTGAATTTGCCAATGTTTATTAAAACGCAACGAATACATTTTTATCATTTCTTCTGACTAGCTTGCTTCGACTCACATTATACCTACCCAGCGTTTTGCTCCTGCTCTCTGTCCCTTCCCATCTGATCCCGTCAATCTTTCATCCTACTTTTTGACACCGATTATCTGACTTCTTATCACCTTTCCCCGGCTAATTTTCCAGCCAGTGTCCTGCCCTATCGTTCCGGTTTTCACTATCTAACAAGCTCACAGCGGCTCTCTTTTCACTCGCCGCCTCACCCTGGCTTTGACGGCGGCCGGGTCTGGTCCGAGTTTGCCCAGTTTGACGTACTGTCGCGGGTACGGTTTGAGGTTGGGCTGGTACGGCACGTGCCGGTGTGGCATCGGTACCCGGTCCGGGGGCGTGTACACCTTCCGCGGTCCGGCCAGCTGTGGGGTGGGTGGTAAACAGGGTCAGCTGGTAGGTCAACTCAGGGAGCTTTTTCACGGAGGGATTGAAACCACACGCTTATTTTTAGTGGAGTCTGAGTTACTTGACCACAAAGAAGTCAATAT